GTACGTTACCCACGTGGCTTCGCCTGCGAGAATCCCAATGTGCGCTAGCGGACGAGGTGCAAACTGAAAGCGAGCAATATTGTCTTCATTGAGAAAGACCAGAGGTGTCGTGCTGAGCATAGTAATGGCGGCCGCCGCGCGAAGCAGCAACAATGGTCGACCGACCCACACCGACCCGGCAACGCGATTGTACATGAACAGATGCGAGCCGTCGGCGTATGGAGTTGGCTGAAGCAGAGCGTACGCTGCCGTGATGCAGGCCACTCCCACAAGCACCACCGACGTTGTAATGGCGACCACGTAGAGGTACTTGCACGTGCTTTTGGGTACTTCGATCGTTTTGGCGCGAAATGGAATCGGCTCGATGCGCTCCGACATCAAGTTGAACGTGGCGACGTCGCCTTGGAACGAGACGACCTCTCGGTAGCCATTGACCCACTCGTGCAGCGCCACGTAGCCCATGAACGACCACGTGTCATCACCCAGCAGCGGCTGGCGCAAGACAGTCGAGTTGCCAGTAGGCGTCCGTGCAAACTGAATGATCTCTACGTTGAGACGTTGGATGGCGTCGGCAGCAGCTTGGACTGTTGGCGTCAGTAGGCTAGAGAGTGTAGCGTTTGACAGTAGTTGGTTGACAATGGTCGTAGCCTGAGTGACGAGTGAGCTGCAAAGTTCAGAGGTTGCAGCGCTGCAAGGTGCGCAGCTGCTAAGATCTGATAGATGCAGCAATTTCATGGTTGTTACTGCAAACACTGCCGGCGAAGGTTCCACAAGGAGCCGACTCGGTACTGGACTGCCGCACGTATCGTCAAAAGAGAAGGACGGCTGCACAAAGTTCGCGCCAGAGCCAAACGGGCAGAACGGGCTGCCGCCAAAGAAGGTGTAGCTGGATCTCGGCCATGAGAGAGACACAGGGTCGAGCAATGGCGCTGGCAACTTGGAGTAGAGACTGAGCAGCGCTCGATCCGCTAGAAGCGCCTGAGATACTGCAGCTTCGATGCTGTCATAAGCAAGCACAAATGCTCTGGGTGGGGCTTCGAGCATCATGTCAATGTTGAGAAATGGGCCGAGTGTATCGTGGATGATGACGCTGGCGGGCGTGAAGGGATACAAGAAAAGGATGGCTTCCATGGTCGCGTCGCCCAT